AACAGTACCAGCTGCCTGGGGGTCGAGATGAAATTATTGAAACCATCCAGGAGCTTGAGTGAGTAGAAGTTATCCGCCCAGCCCAGAGCCCTTTCAATAGCCCCATTTGGCCAATCAGGAAGCCAGATGACTCCTGGAAAATGACTCTAGATTACCGGGAGTTAAATAAGATGGTGCCTCCCATTCATGCAGTGGTGTCCAACATTGCACTGCTAACTGATCAGCTGGCATAGGAAATGGGGTCCTTCGACCCTGGGGTGGACCTTGTTAATGCATTCTTTAGTACTCCCCTCATGGCTGAATCCCAAAATCAATTTGCATTCACATGGGATGGACAAAAATGGACTTTCAGAGTACTTCCCCAAGGTTACCTCCACAGCCCCATGGTTTGTCACAGGATGGTGGCCCAGGACCTGACCCTGTTACCCTGCCCTACTTCTGTAAGGAGGTTCCACTTCATAGATGACATAATGCTAGCTTCTGAGTGCCTTACAGATTTGGAAGCTCATTTGGGGAACATGCAAGCACACCTGAAGGAGCAAGGATGGGAAATCAATCCACAGAGGTACAAGGGCCCTGTACAGTGGTAAATTCTTAGTTTTATGGTCAGGAAGAACTTGCATGATACCCAGTGCGGTGGTTGAGAAAATCTGACAACAACCCGTACCAATACATGCTAAGCAGTTACAGGTATTTTGGGGACTTCTCAGGTGTTGGTGAATTTTTATACCTCACCTTGCTCAGGTTACCTGCCCCCTGTATAATCTAATAAAAAGAGGTGCTACATGAGACTGGGGTGTAAAGGCCCAAGAGGCTTTTGAGCAGGCCAAGATATTGGTTGGGCAAGCTAAGCAGCTGTGTGCCCCAATACCTTGGCGTCCCTTCCTCTTGGAAGTCACCAGGAGCCCTCAAGGTTATGGGTGGGGTTTGTGGCAGCAACAACCCAAACAGATAGTCCTAATTGGGTTCTGGTTCCAGTCATGGAAAGGGGCGGAGTCCTGGTACACAGCACTAGAACAGCAACTGCTGGCTGTGTACAAGGCATTGCAACAGGTGGAATCCATTATAGGCCCCAACCCCCTTACTGTAAAAACTGCATATCCTATAAAAGGATTGGTGGAGGGCCAGTTAACCAAGGCCCTGTCAGGGGTGGCCCAAAACCCAACACTGCAAAGATGGCAGGGATATTTGCAACAGTGAGGGCTGGTGTCAGCCAATGCCAGGTCACCAATGCCATGCAAGCAGTACTAGGACCAGTGTCATTTCAAGGCAAAGAGCCTCTCCTTCCACCTCCTATAGTTGACCCTCCAGCAAGACCTGTCCAAATGCTAGAAGGGGCTCCCCCAATTCCAGCTGATGCCTGATATACTGATGACACTAGCAGGGGTGCCAGAAAAAAGTGGGTAACAATGGCAATACAGAGGAACACTGACAATACATGGTTAGAGAGGAGAGAAAGAAAAAAGTCAATAAGCTGAATTGAGAGCTGTATGGATAGTAATAATGAGGGAACCTTGGCCAGTTACACTTTGTGCTGACAGTTGGGCTGTGTTCAAGGGTTTAACCTTATCAATGGCTCAGTGGGAGAAAGAAAACTGGCAAGTGATGGGACAGCCCCTATGGGGACAACAAATGTGGAAGGACATATATAATAAAATACAGGAGGAGCTAGTACCCCTGGTAGTTTACCATATGGCTACCCACTGCCTGGTGAGTCCCCTGGGAATAAGGAAGCTGATGCCCTCACCAAGGTGAGGGCTATCTGCCCTCAGGTTCCCCTAGAAGCAGCTCACTGTCAGGCCACAGAGGAGCCGACATGGTATGGAGAATAGCCAAAGCAGCTGACATTCCGGTAAAATAGGCTGACATCCAACAGGCTGTCCAGGCCTGTGAAGCATGTTCCCAGTTATGGCCCCAGAGGATGGATGCCATGATGGGACACATGCACAAGGCAGCTTCCCCTATGAGAGACTAGCAAGTAGATTATATAGGGCCCCTGCCAGTCAATGAGGGGTGTAAATGTGCTCTCACTTGCATGGACACTGCCACAGGCCTTACACAGGCCAGAAGGAATGCTACGGAGGTGGAAAAAGGCCCTTCCAGAAGTCCTAAGTTTGTTAAATGAAAATCCCAGTACCAGGTGTGGGTTGTCTCCCTATGAGCAGTTGGCCAAAGGGACCTCAGAGGTCCCCAAAACTACAAAGGTGATTGCCAACAATGTTGGTTGCACACCTGAAATTGATGGTAAGACCCTATTGCTGAAGATGCCACATGATGTGAGTGCATGAGGGAGAAATCAAGCTTGGACTAAGCTGGAAACTCCCTGCCACTGGAGGGTGGCTTTCATGGTGCCAGAAGGCACTATGCAGATGGCTGCGGGAGAATTGTCCCCCATTATCCTGTTTAACGAAGGACCCCACGTGCTGCACTATCAACATGCAAAGCAAGATGCTCCTGCTGGTGCAATAATGGCTCATCTAGTGTATGTACAACCAGCTAATTTCAATTGGACCTAATGCCCACTCCTAGGGATAGAACACACATCTGGTATTGTAGACCAGGCCAACCCCCTGTGGCAGGAGAGGTTATAGGCCCCAATGGAGAAGCCACTGCAAATGTATTGTTAGATGGATGTGATGATGCACCTACTAAAGTGCCTTCCAAGCATTTGTGTTTAAGCCCGTGAACTATTATTGCAGTTACTGTTAACATGTTCTTGCTTCATGCTGTTTGTGTTTTTATAGTGGGTGGGATGCCACTAAATCGAGCCATCAGCCCATGACAAACAGAGGATGCAGAGACTTGAAGAGTCCAGTGCCCTATTACAATGGGAAAAAGGTCGCCCCACCCCCTCTGAGGCTCAGGAATATTCGCAGAAGAGGTGGACAGAAAGCTTGTGAGATCTAGAGGAAGGGATGGAGAGTGTGACCCAAAAAGTTCCTCTGACTCTCTGATGACAAGTCATGGACCTGCCTCTTTCGCAAGCTCTGCAAAGAAGCCACTCCTCTTCCTTCTTCCAGCCAATTGGTCGCTTACAGGGGAGGGGCTAAGGATATAAAAGCTGGGAAAATGAGGCTGGCCCCTCACCATTTTGTAAGGCTGTCTGGAACCACAGGACTTTTGTCTAGATGTGGACTTTTGGCATCAGCTGTGAATGGGGGGGTTGTCCGCTTGTCTGTAAGTAAACCTGCACCCCAAGCTCAGTTAGCAAGTCCAATAAACTCATTAAGATTCTTCAAACGGGTTTGGAGAATTTTTTTCCTCAGGCTGTCACAAGGACCTTAGGAGGAGGGACTTGGATGCCATATACACCTCCCCTCAGTGAATTTGACTTATAGCACATCACAGTTATACCTGAATAAACAGCCTGACTCTTAATTTTAATTTTAAGAGTTGGCCCTAACTCAGAAGGCACTCTTTCCTATAGATGTCTCCTAGAACTGTCCTCCAGAGCCAGGCTCACCCATACTCAAAACCATTTCTCCAGCATCTATCAGGGATAAAAGCCAGGATCCACACTTATCAGAGAATCTTAACCTTTGATATCTAGGGCCAAAATGTTTCATACACACAATGTCAAGCATTCTTCTCAATATTCACTGTTTTTAATGTGGATATGAATATGAATGTTCTGTGTTCAGTGCTTTGGTTTACCCACCCATATTCATTCACTATCTGAGGTGAAGGGCAAACTGGGGTCCTGAGGGATTAAGGTCATATGCCCAGGTTATGGGAATATTTGGATCCATGAGCTTGTTTTACATTGTAAACAGCAGGGTTTTTTTTTTTTTTCAGTTGCAAGGTTAAGTAAAAATTATGAGCCCAGATTCTGTCCAATTTGTAAAAGTCATTCCTATAGTAGACCATGCAAGTTTTCATAGAAAAATCCTACATTAGACCAAGCAAGTTATGTCTAAATTTATTCCATATTCCAGCCCAGGCTCAACAAGTATCTGGCAATTATCTAAGCCCAACAAGAAATCTTTTAAAGTTATATTACTTATGTCTTAATCTAAACTATAACCAAGACACATCCTTAATATCACACTAATTTCATTCTAAAACTAGACATCATTAATGATGTTTGCAGTACCAATAGGGAGTAAGCAAAAGACCTCGACTACCACTTTGGCAAAGATTTCAGCAGAGAGAAGTACCAATCCTTTGGGTACTTGCAGGGCCAAAGTATTGCCAGATCCTGCAGGCTGGCAAAGTCTATTTAAACATTTCCTTAGAATCAAGGAAGAAAGAGTCACAACTGAGGGTCAGCGAGCGCATTTTAGGAGTAGAACATGTAGCAACTAGATGATTTATTTAAGAAATACGTATTGAGGGACTTGAGAGATGGCTCACCAGTTAAGACTGGCTGTTCTTGCAGAAAACCCGGGTTCATAACCCAGCACCCACATGGCAGCTAACAACTGTCCGAAACTCCAGTTCCAGGGGATCCGACAGCCTTTTCTATCCTCCATGGGCATTGCACTTTTCACAGGTGCACTTACCTACATGCAGGCAATACACACATACATAAAATTTAAGAAATAATAAATAAAATATTTTTTAAAAAGAAATACATATCGATGTCAGTGGGGAGCTTGAGATAGAGATGAAAAGAATTCTCTATCCACATCGTTCATGGACTCTGACAAACAAAAAAAAAATGCCCAAATTGGTAGGAAAAAAGTCCAGCAAACTTGATTTTATTCACTCATTCATTTTTTAGTTGAATGCACTGTTTTCTGACTTAGGTAATTTGGCTGTATTCTCATTTTTATTTACATTGAATAAAAATAAGAAAATGAAAAAAGTAAGTTGGAATTAAGTCCTAGAACTATCAATATTTCCTGACTGAAGCAGATCATTTGGGGAGTAAATCCTGATTGCCATTGGGAGTCAGAAAGACAAAATGTTCAAATTTGAAAATTGTCTGGCGAGGTAATATTTTTGTTGTCAACTTATAGATTCCACTGAAAGCTGCACTGTATATGTCCAAGGGGAAGAAACAACAGTCATGGCTACAGTCACTCTAAAAACAGAGGAGCCCGCAATCATCTAGAGGTCAGTGAAAACTATATTTCTTTTTTCAAAAATTTAAGCAAATTAACTAGATTTTTAGTGAGAAGAATCCATACTTATATATTTGACTTGAAGTTTAATATTCTGCTATGAAAATAAATTGAGCACAGTAACATAAAAATCAATAAAACATACTCTGTAATTTTGCCAAATCAGATGCTGCTGAGAATTTTTAAAAAGTCATTTCTGAAACGCTGTGCTTAGCGTGCTTGTCTCAGCAAATGCACTGATTCTAGAGAGCTGTTTGTAATGTCTTCAAGTTTTTCCTATTTTCAGGATTTCCACACTGCAACTTTGAGGTTATAATTCATGAATTATGTCCATTAAGAATAATTAATCACATAGTCATGATCTACAGGAGCCATGAACCAAAGGGACTAAGCCACCTGAAAAATCAAATGTGCTTTTCTTCCTTTGTATTGGGGCTCAGTAGTCATCATGCTGACCTACATGTCCAGACTGTTTTTACAAAAAATTTACTGAGCTTTTGTACATGTTCATATAAGAGTTCTTAATCAAATTACACCCCCTCTCCCATCCATGCCCCTCACACTCCCCACCAGACCTCATGTATTCTGTGATACATGTCAACTCCTCTCCAGTCAAGTATTTGTACCCAGCTGTCTTTCACTGTAAATTCATTCACTAGCATCTAGTCAGCTTATCTAGAGAGCATAAGTAAAGTCCACTCTCCCTCACCCAGTAGTAATCACTCTCCAACAGTTCCCAAACTAGGGTCGACCTGCCAATGATCCTTTGCTCCACTCTGGGCCTTTATCTGATTGAGTTGGCATGGGTCCTGTGCTTGATGCCACCATTGCCATAAGTTCATATGAGCAAGCTTCCAGTGGCCTGAAAGCCTCTGCTTCCCTATGTTCGTGAGCCGACCCTGGCTCTTACAATCATTCTGTCCGCTCTTCTGCAATAGTTCCTGAGCTGTGGGTGGGAGAGTTTTGATAAAGGAGTCCTATTCAGGGACACACTCTGCAGGCTCTTACTCTTTAAAAGTTGGCCAGTTATGGCCTTTTGTGTGCATTTTTTTAAAAGTTTTATTTATTGTTTGGTAACTTCATACATGAATACAGTTTATTCAGATTGTGCCCAGCTCCTGATACCCCCACATCCAACTCCTGATACACACACACACACACACACACACACACACACACACACACACCTCTTCCACCTTCCTGTCTTCTACTACTTTTTTAGAATGTGGCATGTTTTTTGGCTAGTATTAGAGAAAGAGTCAAAAGGAAATTTCTTTACAAACTACTGTGAGCTGTTTTGTAGGCTTAGTACCATCCACGTACATATGCAAAGACATGGAGAGAAGGAAGAGAGGAAGCATGGAGAGTTAGGCATAAACCTGGGGCTGCAGAAAAAACTATACTCATTGAGCAATAACAAATGTGGTTCCTTTGTATTCAGAAAGGAAACAAACTCCATCCATAGCTCTATCTTGATCTCTAGGCTCAGGAGATTCCTATGATAGACAGGAATTGTAGCTCACAGAACACAGAGGCTTCAAATTTCACAGGTTTTGTTATTGTATGTGCAAAACACAGTGGACTTTCATGGATTACAGTGCTTTTGCAAAGAAAAATCCCTGGTGATAGATAATTACAACTCTAAACTTATTGATATTGATATTTGCCCCCCATAAAAACACAGCAGTGAAAGAAAGCCACGTTTGATTGTTTAGAGGAAAGTTTGGAAGCAGTGATTGCAACATTCGGTTTATTGTATTCATAAGGTGTTATCACCATTCCACCTGTTTCTTCTTTCACAACTGCATACACCATGATACTATCTGAAGAGAAGAGTAAAAGTTAGCTACATGGATTTCAGGAACCATGGATAATGAAATTAGATATTTTAGTACATAATTTAAAATATCTTAACAGAAATGCTGTGATTTTCTTTTCAGATGACCATAGACACACAACCTGAACTAGACTGGTGGACAGAATGAAAAATGTCACAGAATTCATCCTTCTGGGTTTGACCCAAGACCCAAAACTGCAGAAACTCATATTCACTGTGTGTTTCATAATCTATTTGGTCACACTGACAGGCAACATGCTCATCTCAGTCACCATCTTCATTAGCCCAGCCCTGGGTTCCCCCATGTACTTTTTTCTCTCCTATTTGTCCATCATAGATGCTTTCTACTCTTCTACCATAGCACCCAAAATGATCTTTGACTTAATCTCTGAGAAGAACACCATATCCTTCAATGACTGCATGACTCAACTTTTTATTGAACACTTCTTTGCTGCTGATGAAATCATCTTGCTGATTGCCATGGCCTATGACCGCTATGTTGCCATCTGCAAGCCCTTGCACTACATGACCATTATGAGTCGACCTGTGTGTGTTTTCCTGGTGGTAGGAGCTGGGATTGTGGGGTTGATTCATGGCATGATACAGACTTTATGTATAGCCCACTTACCATTCTGTGGTCCCAATATTATTGACCACTTTATGTGTGATCTAATACCACTCCTGGAGCTGGCCTGCACTGACACTCATACTCTGGGGCCCTTGATTGCTGCCAACAGTGGGTTAATGTGTTTGCTCACTTTCTCTATTCTGGTTTCTTCCTATGTCATCATCCTGCACTCTCTGAAGAATCACAGTTCCAAAGGGCGCCGCAAAGCCCTATCTACCTGTGCTTCTCATGTCACTGTTGTCATCTTATTCTTTGTACCTTGCTCATACTTATATGTAAGACCCATGATCTCCTTCCCCCCTGACAAAGCTGTGACTGTGGTTTTCACTCTAGTAACACCTATGTTGAATCCTTTAATCTACACCTTCAGAAATGAGGAAGTCAAAAAGGTTATGAAGAAACTCTGGGGTCAAATAGTGAAAGCTGGTGACAAACAAACCTAATGATTTGTGTATTTAAAACAAATGTCCAGTGATATTTCATAGAAATTTGTTCTCCATAAATGATTAAATTTGAGATAGTTATCCTGTGCACAAAATGTAATTGACATGATCATTGTACTTATTAATGGTATACAGTCTCATAACACAAGTAAACAAAGTAAGCAGTCAAATAAAAAAAAAAGCTTTTGAGTCCATTAAAATTTATCATTTACTTGCATTGAGAGTCTGTAAACTCCTCTTCTTTATAAAATATATGACACATTGTTTGAAACTATGGGCTCCCTTAGAGCTCATTGCTCCTGCGTAAGTGTATTCTGATTCCCATCATCTACCTTAACTCTGTCCTTCCTTTTTCTCATCCCGCCTGGTCCCAATGACCACTATTTTACTCTCCAGTTGTATGAAATCAAAGGTTTTCCTTCCACATGTATGAGAATATGCAGTATTTGACTTTCAATGTTTGACTGATTCCCCTCACTTCATGTCTACCATTTCTACCCATTACCACAAATGGAAATATTCCATTTTTTGGTTGAATAATATTTCATTGGAGATATAAATTAAATTTCCTTAAACTATTCTTTTATGATGAATACAACAATTTGCACTGCTAGTAAGTATAAGTAAACTGAACTGACATCTTAAGACATAGAAGGAAGACTGTCAAAAGACCGCAATAAATCTATGCATTCCTGAAATGTTTAATTTCTTTAAGAAGGAAAATTAAAATCAGTCAAAATTCAACTTGAGCTATATTCATCATTATAGCAATGCAGTCATAGCATATTTTTCTTAGGCAAGCACCCAATAGGGCAAAATTGTCAAGGGCTCACACAGTTGTAAACCCCTATTACATATATGAAATCTATGAAATTGATCAATACTAACAATCTTGATACTTTTCCTGTTCAGCCCTACAGTCACAAAAAGGTTTTATTTAAAAGAGGAAAAGCAGTTATATAATAGAGTGTAGACTAGTAGGAAAAGACTTCAAGAACTGTACTCATCAGTTATACTTTCTATCTTCCTAAGCTTGAGAGGGTTACAAATTTTCTACTTGTTAGAGAAATAGGAAGTGTTTCATTTATACAAAGCATTTTCACAGCTTTTCACAGAAAGAACTGCTTATTTTTATATTTGTATCTGTGTGTTTTTATGGGATAAAATTATCTACAAAAAGAACTGAGAGAAGAATTGACTAGAGGAAAAGAAATATGGTTGAAAGATCTTTGATTAAATAGGCCTGACATCACACCTTCCCTCCTACTCATTAGCACTATCAGTTAAACCAGTTGCTTCTCCTCTGTAGCTGGCTCATCTATCCTGATTCGTCAGAAAAAAAATCAATTGACATACTTCTCAATAGTGAGAAATATATTATTTGCATTAAAACCATGTGCCATTCAATAAAATACTGAAAATTGCTCAAAAACTGGAAAATCTTTAGGAATGTCACCAGGGTACAGTTGAGGCAGAGGGTGCCAGTCCTAACATAGAAGTCAGAGCACACAAATACTGTCCTGCACAAACCATGATCAAGGGATGGTTGGACCTCTGTCCTAGCCTCACCTCACTTCTTTTTTTAATTTTTTTTTAAATTTTTATTTCATATAGAACATCTCAATCAATCTTAGTCATCTTTACACGTACTTCCCCACTGGTGCCCTCCCATAGCACACCCCCACACACTGGAATTCATACATTCTGTAGTTTATGTTAGGGCCTATTGTATCAAGATAGTGTCCCCAGACGTCCCTCAGTGAAAGTTCATCTACTGAAGTCTAGTCAGCCTATGTAGAGTCTCTCCCTTAAGAAGATCAGCTCTTCCTCACCTAACAGTAGTCAGTTGCCACCATTGCTGTAGGTTCATATTAGCAGGGTCCCAGGATCTTATAGGACTCTCTTTCCGTATGGTCATGTACCTCCTCCTGGCTCTTACGATCTTTCCACCCCCTGTTCTGCAATGGTCCCTGAGGCTTGGGAGATTGAAGTTTCATATAGTATCCTGTCCAAGGACCAGCATTCTGCAGACTCTTAATCTCTACTGTTTGGCCATTTGTAACCTTTGTATTCCTGAACCTCTGTTGCATAAGGGAGCTTCATTAGTGAGAACTGAGACATTCAGTAGTGTCCTCTTTAACCCTTGTTCTATGTTCCATGAGTCTTAGGTGTAGAGGTTGCCTTATAGATGTGCCGCTTAGACTTGGGCCATTCACACATAATGTCTGTGTGTGACCAGCTGTGGTACTCTGTAATAGTCTCCAACTTGTGCAAAAGAGGCTTCTTTGATAGGATACATATTTTGTACATAGTAAGAAATTACATTTGTCTAGGAATGTGGCAGTTTGGGGATTTTCTCTAAGATCTATGACCTCTCCAGCCATGTGTATTTGGCTATGCTTATAGTACTACACATTGAGTGGGCTTTCAGTCCAATTGGGTAGCTGTTAATTGCCTCCAAGATAAAAATGTCATTACTGAAAAAATATCCTATGCTATGGTGGTCATTGATGTGGTTATTTGGTCTTGAAGCTGGTGTTAGACCACTGACTGATGTTCTCCCTTAGCATCTTGCATAGTGCTCTCCAAAGCTATGAGAGCTAGGCTTCAGGGGAAGTGGATTTCAGGTCAGTTCCGATTGCACTGCTCAAAACTCTGTATCCAAAGTATACTCCGCCTTCGGCAGTACGGTCTTAACTTTCAAGTTCTGGGAAGTAATCAAGGGCTGGGTGATAGCCCATATAATTTTGGGAGTCTCTTAGACCACCCTGGCTAACAACTCAAAGGAAGATTTCTCCTGTCTGGCACTGTTTCTTGTTATGTGGCCTTGAACTATACACATGGGCTCATGTGGAGATACTGTATGTGTAATTTGTCATTAGGTTGTTGCACTAACAATTTCCTCTGTGTTTTTTATACCAGATAGGGGTTATTTATCTCTCCTCTTTCTCTCCCTTTCTAACCCTTCCTCCATGGCTTCCCCAGAAGCAACCTCAGCTGATGAATGGATAACAAAAATGTGATATATTTACATAATGGAGTTTAGTAAAGAAAGATGAAATCATGAAAATTTCAAGTAAATGAATGAAATTATAAACTGTTATACTAAGTGAAGTAGCATAACCTCAAAACAAACTCACTTCCAAATATATCACAAATGACATCTACTCATTCACAGAGACAGCCTTCATCAGTGGGTTGCCATTATAATTAGAATGCCTCATGGGCCAGGCTCTGAAAACTAAAGTCTGAAAACAAGTCTCTGAAAACTAAAGGCAATTCTATCACCAACATCCTACATCCTGTCCTGGGATTTATAAATTTATAAATGCCCATAAATATCTCTATAAATACCCTGCTTGGCCCTCCATTATTGAAGGAGCACAACCAACAACAAGCCCAATTGTGATGGTGTTTAGTGATCAGTGTCAGCTGAAGTCATGATAAAGGCAGTTATTTCATGCAGAAGGGACTGCTGTAGAGCATCGTCTTACTAAAAGGATTTGGTGCTAGGATCCACATTTGGGGGAGAACGTATGTCATATGTTTTCTGAGTCTGTTGCTTCACTTAGTATAACAGTTTCTAGATCCATCCATTTATCTACAAATTTCATTATTTGATCTTTCTTTACTCCTGAATAGAACTCCATTGTCTAAATATACCACATTTTTGTTAACCACTCATCAGTTGAGGGACACTTAGGTTGCCTCCATCTCTTAGCTATTGTGAAAAGAGCAGCAACAAACATGAATGTACAAGTGTCTCTGCAATAGGATGACTTCTTTGAGTATTGC